GGGGGCAGGAGGCAGGCATAGAGCCCGAATCTGGCTGTGTTTGTGGAAAATGTGCAAGAAATCACGAGTTCTACATCTCTCTATGAAACACATCCAGATGCAGACACTTAGTCTCCAATTGGACCTCGCCCCCTCTCTCTTTCTCTCGGTCTCACTGTCTCTCCTGATGCACGCAAACACACACACACACACACACACACACACACACACACACACACACACACACACACACACACACTTAGCAGGGGGGTTGGTGCGTTCTTGCTGGAGGAGTCTTCTGTCTTCGGTAAGCTGTCTCTTATCTTCTTCCTCCTCTTTGGCAGTGATGCGAGTAGTTTGAGATGAAGTCGGGAATGCCAATGCTGTTTGGTTTTGTGGGCCGATGCGGAAGGCTCTCCAAGTTTTTTCGGACCTTTGAGGGGGTCAGGTCGGTGCCGTCTTGCGGGAGTAGTCTTCTATCTTGGGTAAGTTGCCTTCTGCCCTCCATCCCCATACGGTTTGAAATATATGTATATGTGCAAGTGTGCCGCTTTGGCGGCAGACGGGTGTGCGGGCACTTGGCGCTGAACCACACAAACGTGGCCAACCTTGCATTTTCTATTATATTGCCTATCTAAACGTTTTCATTATGGATGGCTTGTGTTGATTTGTGAAGGGAATAAGAGAGAGAATCTTGGGTCTTTTAAAACAAAACACACACACACACACACACACACACACACACAGAGGAGAAGGGGGGAGTGAAGGCGAGGTCCCACGAGCACAGAGGATTGGATTAAACGCCCAAATGATGCTGAATCTTCACGTGTTTATCGCATACATGAGGAAATCACGATTCCCTGCACTTCTCGGCAAACCAGTCCAGATTCAGGAGTTCAATCCCACCCTCTTTGCCATATCCCAGTGGACCGTTGTGCTCGGACGGCCCCTGGGTATGAGGTTTATTTCGGCCTTCGGGTAGGTGGGTATAAGTGCAATTTGGCCAATACCCCTCAGTCCCTGGTATGACCATAATTTGGCTTGGTTATGACCATAATTTGGCTTGGTTATGACCATAATTTGAGCATTTTGGTTGTTGGTTACAACTGCAATTTGGTGGGTCCACCTCAGTCTTGGGTATGCAAATAAGTTGCACCAGCCGTTTCCAGGGTATCGAGATGCAATTTCCCCCCCCAAGAAAGGTTGTCCACCCCAGATATGCAGATCTGTACCCATGTATCGAGGGGGCTGCTGTCCCAGGAGGCCCCTGGATCATTTTGCCAGCAGTACAAATTCACTCGCTCGTATTTTTCGTTCTTTGGCATTCGTTCTTTGGCAAGAAGTTTCATATGTACGACGGTTTTGTTATGCATAAAAAAAAAAAAAAAAAAAAAAAAAGAACCCGCTGCAAGTGTCAGATAGAACACAGGTCAAGAGATTCTGGCACCTCAGCGGTAGATTGCTGAAATGTGTGTCTTGAACCTAAATGTGTGTCTTGAACCTATTACCAACAACGTGTCAAAGCACAAAGGGCATAGAACTCGAAGAGGAAAGGGGGGCCAAAGACTAGACGAAGTGTCTTGACGTAAACGACAAGCCTCTTCTTTGGGTGGCACAAATTTTAAGGGCCTGGAAATGCACTTTTGTGAACCATAATCGAGAATACTCCCACAATCTTGCGGGCCGTTTTTCTTTGGGGAAGGAAAAAGCAGAAGACGATCTTTGATTCAGGACATTCAGAATTATAGAAACTTCACGGATCATATCATTCCTAGCCTCGTAGGCTATTAGGGGTGTACTGAGGATGAAGAGGCACCAAATAGTTGCGGATTTTGCTCGTTTCCTTCAAGCCTGTTTCGCTGAAGTTCAAATAGGAACGGGATGTAAGAGTCAGTAAGACTATATTTTTTTGTGGAGAAAAAAAGAGACTTTTTTTGGTGGTGTGATTGATTGTGAGCTACCACCTGTCAGCAATCTCACCTTACATGGATAGAAAATAGGTCTTGGACCCTACCCAGGGGAAGGACTAGAGATCAAGAGGGAGGGCAGATAACAGCAAAGGAAGCTGTCAGAGCTGACCTGAACAAAGACTCCTTTTGGACAACAGTCCTCAGAACATGCAGGAGGTTACCACTACAGATAAGATCCCCCCAGACAAACAGCCCCTCTTCAATAACACCAGGATTAGGGATGATCAGGGTTACATGTTAAGTTGTAAAAAGTCACCATTGAAAAGTTGGATTAAGGGAGGAGTGATCAAAATTAATAATATTTGGAACAATAACTGGGTAGAATACAAGGATATTTCGGACAGACTAAGGTACTGCCACCATTCAGAAACAGCGTTAGAAAAAATAATTGATCTCATCCCACTACAATGGATACAAATTCCGAGAAAAGGCCCAACAGTCAAAATTAATGACTGGGTGGCAGTCAAAGATAATAAGGAAATAGTAGGTAATGTCCTTCACAAAGAATCTAATGGAGATATTCTGGTACTGATTTTTAACCTTTCAGAGGAGCTGATACACCTGTCTCTTATACACATCTAGATGTGTATAAGAGACAGGTAATGTCCTTCACAAAGAATCTAATGGAGATATTCTGATACTGATTTTTAACCGTGTTAATCGGACGACCGTATTGGGATCCAGACGGTCCGGTCTGGATGTCCAGATCCAGTGTCCGGTTTGAGGGGTCCGGTTGGGCCCCGTTTGTAGAAAAATCGGATTTTTTTTGGGGGGCCCCCAGGCGATTTTCCACTGCCTGGTGGACCCCCAAAAATTGTTGGTGCAGTTTTTGGTGGACCGCTGGGCCAACCGGACCGGCCCTGAAGGGCCTGTACTTGCAATCTTGGGTGATAGGATAATACAACTACAGCAGCGTGTATCTGTGTTTTTTTTTTAATTATATTAATTAATTAATATCTGAACTTCCGGTAATCCCAGGCTAGCTCAGTGGGTACACCCATGAACTTTTGAAATACAGACCCCTGTTCGAATCCAGATGATGGAACTTGAYGAGAAAAAACAACTACTAATGAATTGCGTGGGGCCGGTCAGCTCAATGATAATATCTCAAGGCCATCGCCCTTTTTTTTTTTTTAATCCGGACTTCCGGACCTGTTCATTCATAACTGGACCGTCCGGGTCGGTATGTCCGGTTGTCCGGATCAGTATCCGGATTACCGGACGTCCGGATTGATCCAGACACAGGTCCGGTGCCCGGTGTCCGGTGTCTGGATGTCCGGGTCCGGGGCAACCATGTTTTTAACCTTTCAGAGGAAAATAACCTAAGCCCTGATACACAAACTCAAGCCAAATGGGTGAAAGTGGATCACATTTTCAGAATCAGAGTTCTAATAAATTAAGAACGGCTGGATGGCTTTTCGCCCACAAAACCCTATATCACTCCTGCCACTGGACCCTGCTAACTGGAAATGGGGATCACATACTAAAGGTAAAAGGAATTATACTAGATCCCTGCATTCTCTCACAGTTAAATCAACTTATACAATGTTTAGACCTAGAATAAACTTGGTTGACAGAGTAAGTAACAGATGAATGAAGCATCTCAACATCAGCAAAGAAGAGTTAAGAAAAGTCAAGTGATTTGGTAAAAAAAGAACTAAGCCAGCCAAAGTAGCCTCACTTCAATGGAAAATAGACCATCGTTGTGTCCCCACCAATGACTGGTTAAACCACCAGTACCTCCTAAAAGTGCTCCGTGTTAACGGGCGTGGCTTTTGGGATGAACGGGCCTGGGCCAGTAGGCCCGATTCAGCCAAGTGGAAACAGCGCGATTTCCACTTTTGGCTGGCCGTTAACACGGAGCACTTTCAGGAAGTACTGGCGGTTTAATTGACAAAACGGGGTTAGACAAAAAAGGAATAGCACTACCATGGTGCAAATTCTACAAAACAACTTCCCCAAGTAGGTTGATTCCCGAAACAATTGAACACATTTTTCTCCAATGTCCAAGATCGGTGTGGCTGTGGAGATGGTGGGACAGAATATGGGACCACCTAGAGATGGAGGAAAGATGGTCATGGGGATGAAAGCCCATTCTTTCGGAAGTTTGGGAGACCAATAGACATAATAAGTTCACACATAATCTATTCATAACTGCGAGAAGGGCTATACTTTGGGTCATCTGGCGTTGAAGGTGTGCCCATGAATGGGAAGGGGTCAGGCTAGATGGCCCAGAATTCACAGAAAGTATCAAGGAACAGATACAGCTGGACATTACTAGGCAATGGGAGAATACGAAGGAGAAAATTCAGGCACCTACTCAACAAAAAACAAATCACGAAATACATACAAAATTTCAACACTACTTAGCTTGGAGGGAAACAGGGAGGTAAAATAGGGAAAGTTGTGTGGAAAGGGGAGGCAGGAGATAATGAAGGGGAAAACATCAGATACTATAGAATCTGTTCCGAGGACTGGTGTACAATAGAGACTTCAATACCCTTAAACCACCAGTACTTCCTACAGTCGCGTAGCGTTAACACTACGCAATTTTAGGAAACGTACAGGTCACTACAGGAGCGCCCAAATTCATCCAACTAGAAACGTTTCTACTCTATTTTTTTTCCGCGGCCGATAGCTGGGCCAAGTACTGGTGGTTTAAGACCACTCATGGATTTCCCTTCCCCCTTCCCCCTACAAGCTAGAACAATGGTCCCAATTTCATGGTTTGGACAGGGCGATACAGATCGTGAATGAAGACAGACACTCTTCTAGAAGCAGCTAGAATGGGCTTGGTTGAATTGTTATTTCTGGCGCCCTGGATTGGGTGAAGAGGCCCTAGGTTACCTCACACTCAGCGTTCATTATCAAAGACTGCTCATTATGTTTGAAATTGTTCATAATGGGACGTTGGACCCAGTTTCCAGCAGGTGCAGCTCCCTACCAATAGATGGAGTGACCACATCGGGTACTACTACGAGGGGCTGCTCTTACCACATCTCTTAGTCAGGCCTGGAGAGTATTGAAAAAAAAAAAAAAAAAGTGTTCTGAACTTCTGACCTTCAGCTTTCTTTATTTTTTCTCCTTTTTTATCTTTTTGAACTTGAGCCTTACACTTCCCTGCTGTGGTCGGCCTTTTCCTTTTATAGTTCAATTGATTGTGCAGGCTCGCGCCACCACTCGCCAATTATGAAAATGGCCAATGTACATGGCCATGCTCTCCTCGAAAATTCACTCGTCATTTTCACATTTGGTGATTAGTGGAACGAATATCTACTAAATTTTGAGTGTCGTTTTTTAGGTTCTTTGGTAGCTCCAGCGCAGGGATATAGATCCTGGGCCTAGTTGCACCACTCACCATGCACCACGATTTGAATGCATCTGAACAAATTTGTGTCCAGATGCATTTCAAATGTTGGCGGATGGTGAGTGGTGCAAGTAAGCCCCATGAGTGGTTTCCTGGCAGTTACCTGGGGGACACGTGTTGTGGTCTTTGTATGATACTTTTTTTTTTTTTTTTTTTTTTTTTGGAAGGCCAACCAATTCAATTACATGTCAAATCTGGACAGGACGGCCTTTCAGGCCTTTTTTTTATTTATTGTCATTATAGTATTACGGGAACCCCGTAGCAGCCACATCCATGCTCTATTACGGGAACCCCGTAGCAGCCACATCCATGCTCAAGCCTCCAACGAGGGAACATGTGGGAGCTGCACCCACCAGCTTGTGCGATACCTGCTACAGCAGGTGGGTGATACTGGCCAGGGGTCAGCCGGTAGCATCAGGACCGAGCTTCTTCGATGGGCCAGTCACTGTGCCTCCCCTCCGGTCCCCTCCCCCTATGAACATCAGCAGTCTCTGCTCAATGCCACTCGGGGGGACCAACGGCATATCTCTAGGTGGCGGGCGCCAATCTTGCCCAGGAAGGTACATGAGGCCAATGGGGATTGAACCCAAGACCTCCTGGATGCCACTTGCGTGCCTTACCAACTGAGCTAGGCCGCTGGA